GACTGCCTGTTTGCGGGGGCCAGCCAGCAAATGCCACCACCCCCAGTGCTGTGTTTGCTCAGAGCAGAGGCAGCTAACGAGGGAGATTATGTCAGTAGCTGCTATTGCTGGGGAAAAAAATAATAATAAATAAAAGGAAAACCTGTGTCTGGTGTGTCCCCCCTCCCGGGGCAGGCTGGGGTCCATGCAAGGGCTGGAGCCAGCTGTGCTGGCCATGGCTGGAGATTGATTCTCCTGATGGTGCCCCTGGGAATGCTGCTCCTGGTCTGGTTACGGCGCCTGGCCACAGCTGGGCACGGCGAATAAATGCCCCATTTATCCCCAAGGCTTCAACCCTCATCGGTGCAAACCCAGGAGGAGGTTTAGATGCAGAGACGAGCAAAGCCGGCTGTCGAGACACCCACCTGGCCCAGGCTGCAACGCTGCCAGCTCCAACCACCCCCAAGGGTTATGTCACCAGCTGCCACCGAGGAGCCAGCCCCTGGGGTGACAGGGATGTCCCCAAAGGCAGGACCTTGCATGGAAGCAGATTTTTGTATTTACCTGCTCTTGCAGTCACCAGCCGGTTCCAGGCTCCAGCGTGGCATTTGCCCAACCGCACCGCGGGCATCCAACTGTGATGCCAGACCCGATGCTCATCGTGGGCCAGAGAGCACCCTGGTACCATAACCCGGTATTTAATTCATGGTGCATATCAGAGAGCTTCTCCTGGTCTGAACTGATAGGGAAAGGGTTTATCCCAGGCTCGGTCATCACCTCGGCCAAGGCTCAATACCTGCCTGGGCAGCATCTTTCCGAATCAGCATCTGAAAGTTAGTGCTCAGCTCACATCCTGCTTCTCCGAGTAAAACAGCGAGCTCATTGCTCCAGCCCCTTTCAGCTGACCCTGGAAAGCTAAAGCGAGAAGGAGAAATCACTAGGGACTCCAAGAGCAGAAAAAAATCACTGTTATTATTAATTAAATAACATGGCAGCTCACGGAATCTCCTGTCCCTGCTCTCAGATGAAACCTCCAGCATTGCCTTATAAACTACTGTGCAATTTCTCTTCTTGCTCTGGAAGACGCCGCTGTGTGCAGGGCTGTCTGGGATTCTGGAATGCAATACTCGGGAGTGACTAAAAGCCGTGGAAAATCATGCTCCTTCTCTCACCCTGCAGCAGTTCAGCTCTGGTGGGGAGAGGAGCCCCAGGAGCGCGGGACAACTGTGTGGGAGGCAGCTGCTCCTGAAACGAGGGGAAGGAACTCGACCAGCAAGTGCTCAGCTTCAGTGGCATCTCCCTGCCAGGAGCTGTGTCTGGCACCACAGGAAGGATTCCCCCTGGAAGGGGTACAGACACTTATGGTTCATGTCCCCGTGAGCACACATCTGCCCTGGCCTGGCCAAGCCACCCCTCCAGCCCTGGTGTGGCCAAGGGGGCTTTAGTGACGAGAAGCCCAGCACAAGCCTAAAAACCATGGCTGGAAAAAAAAAAAACTATCAGCAAAATTACACTTTTATTTTTGAGTCGTGGAATTTACTTTGATGTATTGTAACTTAAAAAGGTCTGGAAAAACCACATGCAAAAGGGTTTCTAAGTAGCAGCTAAATTTTCTATTCCAGCATTACAAGCTATTCCAAATGATTTCCAAATTCCCAGCTATGAACTATTCCATAAACAAACAGTTTTATCTTTAAACCCCCTCCACCCTACCCCAGTTAGTGCAGTGCAAAGGAAAAACCCCAAAGGAATTTACATATTATTCTCCAACGTATCCCATGGCAATTCTGAATGACCTGCGATGAACTAAAATATATATACAATTTCCTCACCATCATAAAAAAAACATTTCCCTTCTTATTCACAGATATATATCGTGGCAAATGGCTGAATAATTACTTACAAACAAAACAATCTCTGTAACAAGTTTCTTACAACAGTAAACACAAGAGGGAGAGCTCTCCGGAGGACGGGGGACTTGGCAGGGCCGGGAGGGGAGCGCAGGCAGCGGCGGAGGTCGGGGACCCCTTTGGGGTGTAAGGGAGGGTGTCGTGGTCCCCATGCCACAGCACGTGCCCTTCCAGAGGGGATGCCCTCGCTGCCGTACAGGATTGGCCACGGTGGACCGGAGGGCGGCGGA